CGTGCGTGGACGAGACGGCATCATGGTGTCATTTCGTTGCACTTGCACGTACGGGTATCGGTCCCGTTTCGTATCATCGTCGTCATCATATCATCAGCTATCAAATACAACGGCCGACCGACCGAACGAAAGCTCGGTGGCTTGTTTGCTTGGCTTGCGTACTAAGGCCCCGTTTAGTTCACTAAAAAACCAAAAAAATTTGCGCAGTAAGTGTCACATCAAATCTTGCGGCACATGTATGGACTAGTAAATGTAGACGAAAAAAAACTAATTGCACAGTTAAGTGAGAAATCGCGAGACGAAACTTTCAAATATAATTAGTCAATAATTAGACACTAATTACCAAATACAAACGAAAATGCTACAGTACCCGAAACCCAAAAATTTTCGGATCTAAACGCGCCCTAAGCACAAAACCTCAGACCACCACCGCCTTATCATTCCTTCCTTGCTTGCCTTCCTTTGTTACGGTGCAATCTTGATAGTTTGTTGACACACATCATTCGTTGCTTGCCTCCCCAAAGCAAAGAACTCCTATAACTAACTAAGGCCCGTTTAGTTTGAAAATTTTTAGCTTTTAAATATCTTTGTAGTACTTTCGTTTATATTTAACAAAAATTGTCCAATTATGGATTATTTAGGATTAAAAAGATTAGTCTCACGATTTCTCATTAACTATGTAATTAGTTTTTTTCCGTCTCACATCTAATCTCCATACATATGCCGTAAGATTCGATGTGACGGAGAATCTTGAAAAATTTTAGATTTTGGGTTGCATCTAAACGGGGCCTAACTAACTAACAAATCGATGCCGTCATTCCAAACTTGGCGCGGTATCACAAGTCACCAACGACAAATCACAACGACCAAAGGAAAGCAATGCAACTATACTCGCGAGACTAGCAACAGCACGTAGTGCCGTTAAGTTTCCGATTTGAATCGTTAGCTATTCTACTACGTTTTATAATCAACCAGCCACTAAAAGGAACTTTTCATGTGACTAGATTAACTATTGGTCAAATAGATTCCAAAATCACAGATGCTTTAATTATATTTTTAGATACCTATGGGGGTATGGCCCCCAAGACATGGGCCGCACCATCGGAGGTGGCCCGGCCCACAAGATCAAGGCGTGCACGGCGCTGCTCGGCGTGCACCGCAAGACATTGTATAGTACCAAATAGGATACTTTACTTATAACCCCCCTCCGTAGTATATAAGGAGAGAGCAGGGGTCCTCTACCGACATCATATATTCAATACAATACACCAAAGACACGGGGCGTAGGGTATTACGTCGATCGAACGGACCGAACTCATCTAAATCATTGTCTCTGCGCCTTGTCACCATCATGGCGGTTCGATTACGCGCATCCCCACCGATAAATCTACCATCGCGGATACCCCTCGGTGGGCGCCGAGCATATTCATCGACGGTTAAGCGCGCGCGGTAGAGGCGTCACGTTTGATCCATGGCGAGCGAGATGGATCTCAAATCAACAACGCGTTCTCGTCGTCAATCTCGTGGAGATCCATCCGGTCCACGACGACGATTCATCATTGCTACCCCAGCCACGCAACGGCAGATCCGATCTCGGAACCAACAACTCGCCGCCGATGCTCTCGTCGACCCTCGCCGTCGACTTCGTCGTCACCGCTTCGGTGATGACTTCGCCCGCCTTTCCCTCGGCGGCCTTCGCCGACATCTTTTCGCCGACATCCCTCGCCGACGACTTCGCCCGCCGCTACCCTCGGCCCGGCCTTCGGCCGCCATCATCCGCCGGCGTCTCTCGCCGTCGACTTCGTAAATCACCGCTTCGGCCGTCTCGCCGACATCCTTCGCCGGCGGCCCTCGCCGTTGTCTACGTCGTCATTACTCGGCGGCCCTCACCGACATCCCTCGTCATGCCGTGCAACTGCAAAGCAAAAATATCGCCGACCGGATAACGCCATACACACGGCGACGGACATTCTATCTAAAGCTAAGTCATGTTTTAATATTCTTCAATCTCCGTATATCGTCATAATGTTTTTCCAACTGCTTTCTCCATGTTTGCTCTCCAAATGATTTTACGAACCCCCAGAACAGTTCTGTTAATGCTCGGGCGCCTCGAGAGATGGTCCTCTCGGCTCCTCCCCTACACGTGCTACGGGCTCCAGCGCTTTCTGCGTTATGGGTGGTCGGCGGCGACTCCTTAGTCACCTGTTCCTCCTACACGTGCACAACGCTCCGCGCCGGCGTTATGGACTATGGGCTAGCTAGGGTGAAGACTCATTACACTACACACTAATCTGTTCGGGTGGTTTATATTAAACATAAATATATTTTCACGCCAACTAATTGCCGAATCGCATACACCGTTTCATCACCATTGCTGTTTTTTCTCCTGACTTTCTTTATTTGTACATCGTGTACTACCCGTTCTACATATTTGTATTGCAAGATCGTCGTCTAGGTGATCGGACCACCCAGGTGCTCGAACTTCTCCACCGATCAAGCTGGTCGGATCGCTTGGTTCATGGACTCCGTCGCCGACCGATTGATCGGATGCTCGCGGTCGCTTCTACTCAATGTTCGCCGTCGTCACGATCAATCGGCCGAATGTTCGTCGCTTTCGTGCTTCATCGCCATGATTCGTCGGTTACTCCTCGCCCTCGGATTCTTCATGCTCGAGGACTAAGTGGGCACACTTCACCGCACAGGGCGTCGTCATCGGCTCGTCCGGTGCTCGAACCTCGCCGCCTATGCACGGGGACTCCTCGGTGCTTCGGACCTCGCCACCTCGCGCAAGGACTCCTCGGTGCTCGGACATCGCCGCCCCTCGCGGGGACTCCTCGGTGCTCGAACCTCGCCGCCCTCTGTTGGTACTCCTCGCTCCTCGGTGCTCGGTCATCGTCGGCGGCCAGGGACTCCTCGCTCCTCGGTGCTCGGTCGCCGCCCAATGACGCTGGGACTCCTCGCTCCCTCTGTGCTCGGACCTCGCCGCCTACTGGCTGGGTACTCCTCGCTCCTCGGTGCTCGGTCGCCGCTAGCGGCCGGACTCCCTCGCTCCTCGGTGCTCGGTCATCCGCTAGCGACGCTGGGACTCCTCGCTCCCCAGTGCTTTCGGACATCACCGCTTATGCTGGGGACTCCTTGCTCCTCGGTGCTTTCGGTCGCCGCGCCAAATGATGCAGGGACTCTCGCTCCCTCGGTGCTCGGTCATCGCCACGGCAGCGGGGGCTCCTCGCTCCTCGGTGCTTGGTCATCGCCAGCGACGTCGGGGACTCCTCGGTGCTCGGACATCACCGCCTACACCGGGGACTCCTCGCTCCTCGGTGCTCGGTCATCGACAACAACGCAGGGACTCCTCGGTGCTCGGTCATCGCCAATGGCCTTGAGGACTCCCTTCTTCTCGGATCTTGCTACGTCTCGTCGGTGTGCTATCAAGTCGCTCCATCTTTATTCGGATTAGGGTGCTAATCTTGGGCGGCCGTCTGCAGAATCTTGATCGCGCATGTCGAATTTACGTTAGCAAGCTTTCAAACTTTTTTTTCTTTGACCTGCTACAAGATTCATTCTTCATCTTCCAGTGAGCTCGGGGACTAAGTGGGCATACTTCACCTTGCGGTGAATGTGCTTGTTCTCATCTCGAGGCTACGCTGGGGGGTGGTTGTTGCTTTCTACCGGTCTTCTACTTTATGACCACAGCACCACATGGTGCGTCATCTACCTGTCGAGCTCGGGGACTAACTGCGGGGTATGGCCCCCCAAGACATGGGCCGCACCATCGGAGGTGGCCCGCCCACAAGATCAAAGGCGTGCATTGCTGCTGCTCGTGCACACGCAAGACATTGTATAGTACCAAATAGGATACTTTACTTGTAACCCTGCCCCTCCGGAGTATATAAGGAGGCGGGGTCCTCTACTAAACACCATGTATTCAATACAATACACCAAAGACACGGGGCGTAGGGTATTACGTCGATCGATTGATCCAACTTTTATCTAAATCGGCATCTCTGCTACTTGTGTCACCATCTCGTTCCCCGATTACGCGCATCTCCACCGATAAATCTACCATCGGGATACCCCTCGGTGGACTGCCGAGCATATTCTGTCGACAATACCTGGTTACACCACGTTCTAAAAAAAACCACTATATTATTTTAACATGACTTGCTAGATTTAATTGGGTGTTTTGTGCAGCTCCTCTAGCGACTCTATGTGCGCCTGAACTAAGCGGTTCCTCACAGCTCCACTTAGCTAGTTAAGTCATGCGGGAACACGCTAAGAGATGCCCACATGAAGATAGCAACAGGAGCCAAAAGTATCACAGCTCTCCCCACTGGTGGGCCCAGGCGTGGTTATACACCTTATTCGCTTGAATATGGTATAATATTTTCTCCATAACTAATTAAACTTTAGTTAACTTATCAACCACGAAACTATCAGATCGAACAGCAGTCCGTAGCGGATTTGCCCTGTGAACACGTTGGCGCGGGCAGCGTGAGGGCATGGCGGGGTGGAGGAGGAAGTGGACAACGAGAGGAGGTGGGCCCGAGGGCAACGGAGGAAGATGATAATAGAGGGAAGCATAACCGTGATCATTAACTGCCGTAAGGAAAATGACAGCGCAGCCATTATTACTACCAAATGATTTCCAATCACAGATTAAAACCCATTATTTTTATTATTATTGTACATAACATAACAAAGCAAAGCAAAGCAGCAACCGATTCGCTCGCCCCACTTCCAATCGCCGTCTCGTAAATCCGGGCGGCGCCCACCTCCACCGCCTCCGCCCTCTCTCCTCTACTTCCCCACCGCAGGCCGCACCGCACCGCACCGCTCTCCTCGGACCACCCACTGGGCACGCCAGTTGCCGACGCGCCAGGCAGGGGCGGAGGGGCCCGTCCAGGGCGAGAGAAATCCGCCTCGTCCCCTCCTGCCGCGCGGGATTTCAGTTCCGGCCGCTTCATCCCCGGACCCGGAGGCAGGCAGGGAGGCACGCGGCGGCAATGCTGCTAGGCTCGCCCGTGAAGCGCCTGCTGCGGCGGGCGGCCAAGGGGCGGCTGGAGAAGGCCGAGCTGGCGGGGCTGGCCGCGGCGACGGCCGCCGCGCTGCTGCTGCTCCTCCTCTGCGCCGCCTCGCTCCGCTGCTCGGCCGCCGCGCTGGTGGCCGCGCACGGGAGGTTCTGGGCCGGCGGGGTCTCCATCGCGGCAGCGGCGGCGGCGGAGGCGGATGCGGCGGTGGATGTGGACAAGCGGCCCGTCTCCGCGCCGGCTACTGCATCGGCGGGGAGTGGTGGCGACGAGGAGGAGGAGTGCGACCTGTTCGACGGGGAGTGGGTCTGGGCCGGCGCCGGCGCCGGCGGGTACCCGCTCTACGACTCCAGGGACTGCCCGTTCCTCGACGTCGGCTTCCGCTGCGCCGAGAACGGCCGCCCCGACGCGTCCTACACCAAGTGGCGCTGGCAGCCGTCGCGCTGCCATCTGCCCAGGTTCGTTGCGTTGCTTCGATCTGCTGCTATCTTCTTCTTCCTTGCTTCAGTCGTTCCATGTCCGCCATCTCCAGGATCCGGAGATTGGTTTGCTAAGCTTGTCAGAGCGGAAGAAGCGTGCGTGGGCATACTACTATCTCCGTGCATTTTTTTTTGTTGAATCTTGAACCAGTCTAAATTTGGTGCTGCTACTTCAGACTTTCAACGTCCGTGCAGTGTTTGTTCAATCTTGAGCTAGTCTAAATTTGACACTGCTACTTCAGACTTTCAACGTCTAAGAAAAAAAATCGTAGACAAGGCCACAAGGTCACTCTCTTTCAACGTCTAAGAAAAAAAAAACTAGACAAGGACTCTCCACATGAGATGTGGTTATGTGGGTCAGTCGATGCGCGTTGCGAAACTTAAATTAGATCATTGGAGTATATATAATATACGACGAACTGAACCATCACCTCACCTTGGGACTACCTAGTAAGATTGGAAACCCGATGCCCTTTGCCTGCCACTCAGTCTAACAAATATGGTTAGTCCTAGGAATGTGGGAAGAAATATAATGCAGCGTGTCATGCTGTTTCCAACTTGCAACCCGTGGTTGGAGGTGGTCTCTTCATGCTATTTCTTGACCCATCATTGTTCCGTATAAAGCATTTCAGTGGACTTGTGATTATGTTCAGTTGCCTTTGTTGGCACAACAGTTTGTTGCTTATGTACCTTGGTTCTGAAATGAACCCAAAATCTAATGCCACCTTCACAACTGCACTATATTCACAAGCTAACAATAAGTATTGATGGTGTTTGTTGCATGGTGCTACCAACAGTGCTGGAGATGTTGACTCATCTGTCTCCAGGAATAGTTAACTCGCAACGGATAATACCACTTTTTGCATCTGCCACCCTTAATTGGGCATGAGCATGCCTTCAGTGTGTACTGCTGATTGTGACATTTAGTTGGATTGTTTTGCATGTTTAGGATGTTCTGAAACTGAAAGATTATACTTACTGATTGTGATAGAGAATTTAAAGTGGAACTACAGTAATCTTGGTGGGCAATTTACAGCATTTTCAGAAGAATAGCTTCCTATCATCAATTTATTTCTAGTACAAGCAGGTTCATGGTTTTGTGGCCTTGTAAATCACCTCAATCTCTGATTCTCTAGGGTTTGTGGTTCATAACTGAAGAACAATCCGGAAGATCTGCATTACCACTCTAGCATAATCGATATTCTTTTTTCTCTGACTTGGACATATTCTTTCTTTGATTTGTTAGATTTGATGCCAGAAGCATGCTGGAGAAGCTCTGAAACAAAAGAGTAGTTTTGTTGGTGATTCAATTGGAAGGAACCAATGGGAGTCTCTACTTTGTATGCTCTCTAGTGCTGTTCATAACAAGAGCTCTATCTATGAAGTTAATGGAGTCCCATCACAAAGCACATGGGTTTCTTGATCTTCAACTTTAGAGACTACAATTGCACTGTGGAATACTACAGATCCCTTTTATAGTCCTTCAAGGCCGTCCACCAGCAGGAGCCCTGAGATTGTTAGGTACACTATTCGAGTGGATGCAATGGATTGGATGTCTGACCGGGTAAGTGGAAGGATGCTGATGTATTGATCTTCAACACTGGGCATTGGTGGAACAATGAGAAAACAATCAGGGGTAAGCATAACTTTGTATCACACTGATTTTTTGCATTCAGCTAGTTCTCATGTCAGAAATAGCTATATGTTTTCAAGATTTTTTGCAATATTGTTTTGATTAGTTGAAATGTGACACCATGTTTAAGAGATTCACCTTTCAACTTTTGTTTCCTACAAGATTCAGTGTCTAGTTATCCACATCATCTGGCGATGACATATTCATGCATATACTCTTGGAGAAGATTATATCCTGAAATTACTAAGAATATGGCATGCTGGGATGGTATTACGATTTTCTGATCACCACACTACCACAGTTGAATCTTATGCCCATTTGAAGCTAGGTTTGCTGACTTGCTGTTTTGTTCTTTTTATCAGGGGTGCCTACTTTCAAGTAGGCGATGAGGAATCAAAATAAGGGCATGACTGTTGCATATGCTTACAGAAGGTCGATACAGACATTGTCCGATTGGCTTCACAAAGAAGTTAACACAAGCAAGACTCATGTCATCTACCGTACATATGCTCCTGTGCATTTCAGGTCTGTGTAATCACCTACTTACACTTACAAATGATCCTCCCCTCATCTGGTTGTTTTTATAATTGTTTGACAATGTTTGAGATCATTTATATATGTTCTGAACTTAATCATCTTATTGCAAAAAGTGATTGAAGCCTTGAACAGTGCATGCCTTTATTTCTTCGCTCTATTGAAAAATCCATGGATGTACATGAGTAAGATATGCTTTTAGTGATATGTTACATTGCCTCTTTAACCAGAGCAATCTGTATATGGTCTGCAGAGGTGGTGACTGGAAGACTGGTGGGAGCTGTCACTTAGAAACTCTTCCAGACGTGATGCCAGTGAAGTCCCTGGATGAATGGGCTGACTTGCTTCAACCTGTGGATGATTTTCTAGGGAGCAATCTCAGATCCAAGTTGGCTGGTTTAGACCTGCTTAATGTGACGAGAATGACAGCTCAGAGAAAAGGCGGTCACCTCTCAGTATACCTGAGCCCTTCAGGACCTGTGCCCGCTACAAACAGGATTGCAGCCACTGGTGCCTTCCTGGAGTCCCTGATACCTGGAATGAGCTTCTCTACGCCCTTGTCATGATGAGGCATAAGAAGATGGGTCAGAATGCTTCCTTGCTGGCACTAGGACACTGAACACTGAAGAGGAGATGTCTTCAGCTGATTATCATGACAAAACAAGCTTCATAGTCATCCTGGGCGATGAGTCAATGATAGCTGCTGTTTCACATACCAATTAGGATAGGATGCCAGGTGGCGAAACACATTTTTGGATCATGGGTGTTGTTTGCAGGAAGTTGCATACCGCCCTGCTGTGCTGTGTTTGCATATGGTGAGGTTAGTGAATAGTTGAGCTAGAGGTCAATGGTAGTATAGCTTTCTGTGGTGAAGGCAACTTGTGGCTCATCGAGCGGTTATTGGAATTAGCAGTGGTGTACGTAGGTAGGGTCACTACAACGTATGATGTAAATATATGTAGCTGCGAAAGTGGGGTGGTTTTAACTGAAGCTCACTGCAGTTACGAGGTGCATGTGCATGTGATTCAAGAATTTCTAAGCTGTACGGAGTACAATTGTTGCTCAACGGCTCGACTTCCATGCTCGTGGTTTCATTTTGTGCGTGCCTGATGACTTACATTTCAGTCCGTCAATGAACTGTCAATTGAAGTTGTCATGTTTAGCTGAAACTCGGTAGCAGAATTGGTAACTATATGGAGAAAAGCAATACAGAAAACAGAACTAAGCAGGATAAGAGCCATGATGAATAATTTGTTGCAAAATCATAGTTTGCAATGCACAATTACATAGAGCACCAGATTGATGGTCACAATCACATTGATGCAGGATCGCTTCGTGCTGTCAGTCTGTTGGCACTACACAGGAGCTCAGCGATGCCAATATCAAAATATCAGCGACGAATCGCACCCCCACCCCACCCCCACCCACCCAACACAGAGAGAGAGTATAATATCAATACTTTCAGAACACCTAAGTACTTAGCATTGTAGAAGATAAATGTGTACTGAGTTTGGTATTCCAGTATCATCGTTACATACCAAACAATCAGTAATGCATCCACTTTGGGTTTGCTGCTAAATCTCTTGAACCAGATGCATGGAATTACAAGCAGCAAATGCTCCGTCTTGTTAAACATCTTATAAAAATTCGTCTTTTTCGATGAACGAATGTGATTTCTCTCTCACAACAAATCAATAACAATACTTTCATGCCATGGTTTATCAACTTAAGCAAATAGGGCTGTTAACCAACGAAGGATCAGGACGTTTAGATGATCTGATTTTACCCCTGGGCATCATTATGCAAGAAAATGCAAACCTTCTGTGGTAGCCATTAATTCGCAAATTATTTTCTGCTATAACATAACTAGGACTGAAAACAAGATAGCTTTACCTGGGGCTAAATTCGAAACTGAAAAAACAAGATAACATTTCTCTAGAGGATTTCATCAAACAAAGAGGACCAGGAAGCTGAACTAGAGCATGAAACAGACAAAGCACTCCGGCCAAATTACATGTCACCAAAAGATGTATTGGCACAGAAGATCTGAAATAATGCTCATTTCTTTACTAATAATGCTAATTTCTTTTACTTTCTCAGAAAATGATACTTTTTAGGCGGGGACCTCACATGGTGCTGATATTCGTCTCTTGAAAAAATTGATATTAGCAAGGACGTAGTGGAAGCCTCAAGTGACAAATTCTTCTCATCAATTTTGAAAAAGTAAGCCCCCGCTTTGATTATGTCACCTCTACGCAACAGTCTCCTAACTAGAGCATTTAGCAAGCGTGAGTTCGGAGCACAACCACTATTTTCCATTGCTGAAAACAGATTGTCGAACTCTTCTGGCAACCCTTCTTTTACAAGGTTTTCCATAATTATGCGATATGTCACGATATTTGGAGCTAAACCATGAGCAGAGATAGCAGTGAACAAATTCATTGCATCTTCCTTTCTGCCACTTTTGAGCAAAGAATTGATCATAATATTGAAAGTAATCATGTCAAGTTGAAAATCCTTAGAACAGACGGTTGAGTGGAAGTTAAAAGAGAGAGAGAGAGAGTTGAGTGGACGGTGGTCTGTGACGGCTCTAGTATTGCGTGCCCGTGCTCGGTGCTCTGCATTATTCCCCACCTCCCTTTCCAGCGCACCCAGCCCATCAACCAAACGCACGCACGCGCGCGCCACCGCAGCTCCCCTGCGCTGCGCAATGGACGCCGTAGCGTTCCCGCCGCCGCCCGCGCCGTTCCTCGACGAGGACCTTGACTTCCAGCGACTTCACCTTCGCCTCCGCGCCCGCCGCGCCGCAGCC